TACATTCAGTTTTTATTACTTCGAATAATTTCATACTTCACACAAAAATAAAATGGATAAAATCTGATGTCTAATGATTAGATCTTTATCAAAAGTCTTTATTTTTTAAATTTTATTGCACAAGATGGTTTAAGTCAGATGCTTACTCGGCATTCTAACGCCATATCAACATAGGCCGTAATGAAACTTGCGACGCACGGTTCTAACATGTGTACGTGCTTTGTTATAATCTCACTGCCAAGCTGTATTTGATACGGTGGATCGTTAACAGTCAGGCAAGAATCGACAGTTATGAAAACTGTCGCAAACCGAGCGACAGAAGGCGGCAACTTATTATGCTTTCAATGAATAATAAACTGTCTTTGCTGTCACTTCTTAATCATACAAGCAAGCAGCTACGTGAAGTTAAACGAAACTTAAAGCGAACAATATGCGATCCGATATCATCATTGTTATTAAATTGCAAGGCCTTTAATTTAACCACATGCACACGTGCGAACACTGTTTTGGTTGATTTGGTGAAATGGGATACAAACAACACGTGCAGAGTAATCAAAATTGAGTTCATTCTATTAAAGAAAAAATGTAGCCGAATATCAGGATGTGGTAAGTAGTGTGGCAGGATGTGGTCACAAGCCTAAAATATCTGTTTCAAGTATAATATATTATTTCCATCTTATTCGAATATTTTGATTAAATTAAATAATTAGTAAACTGCGAATGCCATATATTTATAGAAATATTGTGAATATAAAGAATATTTATTATGTTAAAAAATATTAAAAGTTGTCTATTACAATATTTACACGACAAAAGAAGTGTCTATTTAAAATGTCTTCATTTAACTGATATTATAAATGTTTTATTTTGCATAAAAATGCACAGTTTAATTATTATCAAATTAAACTAATTAAACGTTAAATGAAATAGGCGAGATTGAATTTTCGTAAACGGACTTTCACAACAAAGCGTTAATACGTAAAGTTAACTGAAAATAAAAGAGAAACAATTTAATGGTTCTGTAAATAACTTTCATTTACAAAAGTTCACAGTTCAGTTCGACCTCGTTTTTAATAATCGTAGCTTCCAAAACGGTTTAGCGCTCGACACGAATGAGGCTGAGTAAAAATTAGATTGGCCAATCAATTAGCGTTAAACGATTCTTGCGTGGCGTGATTGGAGTGGTTATTTAGAAATCCCATTTATTGATTGCAGTTAGAGGAGCAATTACATACCTTTAACGCGAGCTCCGTGTTAGGTGACTGTTAATATCAATTTGGTTCGATTAATTCTAATGCAGGATGAGAACGTTGTCAATTATACTCATTACTATATTTTCTTTTCAGTCAATTATTCCTAAATCCTCTATAAGATTTATTATAATTTGATCAAATTAATTACTTTTGTTTACAATAATTCTACACAATTTTCTAATTGACGACGAAAGTAAAGTACAAAAAGAGCAGTTGAACGTCCCAGACAATTAAATATGTGCATACAGTAAGTTTCATTAATACTTGGACATACTTCAAAATAGAATAACTTTTTTGATATTGAATTAAACAAGTTCATTTTCTTCGAGATGTTAGGAGACTTGATTTATTACATAATATGTAACAACAAATTGAAAAAATTACTATTCATCAGAAACTCGAAGACAAGGGGATGATTTCATCAATAAAAATGTGAAACATCCGCTTTGTTGATCTAACTATAGGAACCCAATCTTCAACCTCACGTTACACACGCACGCGCGCGTGTGTGTGAATACTCCTTTGCGTTGCTAGTATCTACATGGACACGTGGTCGCAGTGCTCTTAAGTTTAAGTTTAATACTATACGTTAGTTCATGAACGACTGTATTAATGATCTGGATGATTATACGTAGATATAATAAAGTGGAATGTTTCAAATTTTTATTATTATAAACTGCAATACAAAAGTTAAAAATCATGCCTTTTACTTTTTTACTCGAGACTTCAACGAATGGAAATTCTTCTTTAATTTTTTGTTGCTCATTACAAGTAAACTAAGCCTTCTAACGCCCCACAGAAAATGAAGTTATTATGTTAAAGAAGTTATTCCGTTTTGAAGTGCATTTGAATATTAATGGGAGTCACTGTATATCGAATAAGAAAACGGGAAAAATGAAAAGAGAAGGGGAAATTACAAACAGAAACGTGGTGGCCGGCGCAAGGAGGTCACGATAAGAAGCGGGTATAACCAAAGATTGTTCCTCGTTTCCCTCCACCTAGATACGTCAGTCCAGGTATCAGGAATAACGAACGTTCGAGCATTCAGCCTCGGCTGCATTGTCCGCGAACTACAAATATTAGCCGCAGTCTCGAGCGCGACGCGAGATATTTCTATCAGCTGGTGGCAATGCATGTCCCAGAAAACAAGCGTTTCGTAATTAAAATATGGAATATATATTGCCTGTTGAATAATCGGATATTTTAAGCAAGTTAAATTTTTCTTTTATGTGTCTTTCAAATTGAACTGTATACCAATTTTCACTTTACTTTTGCAACCTGCAATGACTCATGCTGTTGATCAACGTGCAAACATGAAATTAGTCTATAGTCGTTATCTATTTAGCTCGATTATGAATCATGGAGTAATACGAAGTAACACTTGGTACGCAAATTAAATGGAAGACCATCTATTATATAAATAAAGTACAATTAAAGTTTCTGCTTATTCTTAAAATTATTTTTCTATTAATAATTATTACTTGTGCAAGCACAAATAAGTTGTGCAATTTGATGATATTAATTTTAGGATGAAGAGTAGAAAATTTTCAACAGAGATAAAAGGAAGCGTGAACCGAAAGGATAAACGCAGCGCGGATTGCAAAATCAGGAGAATTTATATGACACACAATGCGGGTTGTTACTTTCCCCTTGAAAAACCATCCGCGTGTGTGTACGTGCGCGATGAAAAGGGAAAAGGCAAACAGGTGAAGAAATTAGCGCAGCCAGCGTGTGCGTTAACAACCGGACAGTCTAACAGCGAAAAAATAATTTAGGCACGAACCGCATAGTTGTTAAGTAACTATGTGCTAATTGCTCCTTAAATGCAACGATGCACACCTCTTACGAATGATATTTTTCAAATAATCCGTAAATGCCGGCTCAGGCTCGGATATAGGTTAATTAGCATTATGTAACCGAGATATGTACAAGAAAACGCGCGTCCATAAAACGACACAACTTTTCAAATGGAAATATCACTATTGCGTATCACAACTGTAATATTAATTAGCTGTTTTCAGTAAATCTTGTACAATGCGTCGCAGGTGGAACATCAGATTTTCTACACGTCCAATACTTATCAGACCTAAACATATCACGTTATATAAGAGTGTAAAAATTATCGAAATCTATGAGGAAACAACTTTTCTACAAATTCACCTACTATTAGACTAAATAAAATGTTTATGATACCAGTTTAAAAAGTATATGTCAGATAACAGTTTCACTTATCATTTAACTATTACGATATGCACTCTGCTTTTAATATTTTACATCACGTTCAGTGATTACATTTTTTTGCAAATTCAGTTTTCTTATAAACGCATTAAATCCGTCGTCTTCCTGTTATATTTTATGATTTATCTACGTGTGGAGTATGTGTATGAAAAAATCTGTGCGAGGACATGAACAATTTCACGAATTATCAAGTTTTGCAATATTACGACACGGACTTAGCACCTGAATGCGTGTAGAGTATATTTCATAAATGCGTTACACTAGTGACGTATAGATGCTAGATACGTGTAAGTTCTAGCTCTCTCGTACACCAGGTACAGCGTACCTGTGCTTGGTACCAATGTAATAACGTCGCCCCGTCATTGCAAATGACGTAACTCGACAGTACCACGGTGCACGCCTCTACAGGGTGTCTGCATTTATTTTAGTAACTGCGAATGGCAATTGCAGCAAGTATTTTTAGAATTGACCTGTCTATTGTGCGCGTGAGAAATATTTTCTTTATCATTCGCGCGAAGTTAGTGAAAACTCGGACATATAAAGTGGCAAATAATTCTCCATGAAGGCAAATACTTTTAACAAGTAGACTCTTGTTTTGTGTTAATCTATAAAAAGATTACGTTACATGAGATTTCCTTCGCTGTTTCACACGGCTATTTTTCTCGCAGTTTCTTTCAGTCATTTTCACGTTCAATACTTGAAAATGTAATACTCACGGCGGAAAAACATGATTTCATATGCCGAGCCCTTGAAATTCAGACACACCGCGTGCACAGCATGCAGACCTGAGCGAGCGGTAAACGCCACAATGACGGTTTAAGGTTCACTGAATAATTATAATAATTGTTGGTCACCGACTTGCGTCAATCCCAGTAAACCGTCTATCCAATCGTCTTCGATGAATCGAGTCATAAAAGCGAAATTTTTACGTTTACTTCAATTCTCTCAACCCTTATGCACCGTCGTCATGAACTTCATTGCAAAATTACCATCGAAACCTTTTTTTCTCGCGTAGGTTTATTCAATTTCGCGTATAAATATAACCCTTCACTTCAAATACGTCTGCTTCTTTCGAATTAATTTAGTTTAACAATTTTTGTTATCAGTCGCTGCATGAAGTTAATTATATTTTTGCATGTAAGAAAACTATCTCCATGAATTTAGAGATTCGTAACATTGATTGCTATAAAGAGAAGTTTTAAATATATTCAATAGCACGAACTGTTCTTATAGAGCCAAGAATTTCTTATCTTCCTCGGTTTTGTCGCGACTCTTAAATTTCGCGAACGGATGTGGTAAGCAACGCCTCTCCCACTTAGGACACACGATCACAAAACGTGTAGAGGATCTAGGAGCCAGACAAGGTGATTAGTCAGCAATGCGACAAGTGTTTGCTTCCCATCGTTTTCCTACGACTCTTTTTTCAAGTACACACACGTACCGATTTATTGGTGTCTTCGTTCACTTTATACGATATTGCTAACGTAAGTTGAACAGAAAAGGTGTACATGAAAAAGCCTCCTTGTCTCGGTTGATATTCCAAAGTTAATGTTCAGCGCATTCCTGAAGATAAGCGAATCAGATTCGCTGTCAACTGCAAAATCTCTGACATTTCAGTGGGAAAGTAACGTAATCTTTTAATATACTAAACTGCAGATTTTTATGCGAAGTAACACATTCACGTTCTGCGATAAATAAAAATGCGTTTTCCATTTTATCATATAATCATTCTGATATTCATTTAGTATTGGATATTTCACATACAGTGTTTAAATGCATCAAACAGTCTAATTATAAGGTAAATTTTACACAAGTGATTTGTGATTTGGAAAATATCTTTATTTTTCAGTTTCCATTTTGTCAAAATATTTGTTAATGCAAAATAGAATAGAGTAAACGTTAGTTTAAATTGTCTTCGTTATAACGAATTTATATTCAATATAGGGGTACATATTTTTTTAAGCCGTTTCATTTCCGTTTCATCAATACCCTCAAATGCTTTCGCAAACAGGACGTTCCCAATATGACGCACTGGAGGAAATTGGTGAAGATAAAAGTAGAAAAAAATGAACGGTACCAGAAAGTGTATTACTCATTCGGCAAGCGTCATTGTGTCCCACATCACGTAACACGAACCAAAAATTCTTTTATGTTGTGCATCGTCCGCGAGACTGAAGAGCAAAGAACGCAAAAATGGAATTTATTACCCTACTGGCTCGTGAGTTTTCGGATAACTTCAAATTCAAGATAAAATGATTACTAATTGCACAGTCCAACAAAAGGAATTGAGAATCCGTTTACCCAGCAGGAATTTGCTACATAATATTGAACTCTATATTTCTGATAAAGAAACCGTGTACAGAAACATGTAAAACCTCATTTTCCTTAGAACCATGCATTTTTCCAGAAACGGTATGTAATAAAGTTATTCCGAGTTCTTATTGAGAGTTCCTTCTGAGAAACTCTATAACAATCACGTAGTCGATATTGCAAAGTAATATTCTTTGCACAGTTAAAAGCCTGTAACAAGAATTCTTTAACAAAAACAGAATTCGATTTTTAATTACTCTATCGATAATTTTAAAAGAATGAGATTTGATAAATCCATTGAAATTATTAATTGAAATAGCGTATGTTCAATTCGATTCGAAGATGCTGCAGTTTGTTACATTTTAAGAAGTGTTCTAAGAGTCATAATCCACCGGAAAGCTGTTCATCCTGGACTTCTCCATACGGAATTTCTCCTCGTTTCATAATTCTTGGGCAAACAGCACCGAAAATACACACCGTGGTATGTGTGAAAGACCTTAAGAGAAGCTCCGCGTCCGGTTCATGGAATTCGGTAAAACCTTAAACAATGAACGAGGACGGGCCGGGAATTCACACTGCGTGCTCGATAAGAGGTAGCGAACGGTTTTCAGTAAAAAGATCAGCAATCCTATCAGTGTCACTCATCCTGCCACGAAATTAGAAGCTTGTATCTGCAATGACATTTAAATTCTATTTGCATGTTAGGTTGGTACATATGAAATCTTCTTAAAAAACAACAACAAATGTGTATTTGACTAAAATAAATGATTTTTCTTTATGCCAGCTGTATTCAAGAAAATCCACAAAGATCTCTTTGAATGCTGTCTTTACAATTCCACTATTCTTCATCTATTTTTAGTGATTTTCATATGATCCTATTTCAAGTACAAACCTACTGTGTTAATGATTACTATTTTTTAATAAAATTGCAGCATCTTTACTATAATTCCTTTTGATACATTATTTTCACTCTTCTTTATATATTTATAAACAATTATTATAATTCAGTTTGATCTGTAATAGTCGTTGACAATGATTTTGTATCCAAAATAAAAAATTTGCGATATCAATTTAAGAATATTATTTATATAAAGAACTTCTTTCATCATTTACATAAGCACTATGATATGCATGTAGCTTCTGGTATTTCATTCCATGCATTCTTTATATTTTCTGCGTATTAAATTGATTTGTAAATGCAAACCATCTTTAGTCTATTAATAAGATAAACCTTGATAAACGATCTTCACAATTATAATATCTGAAGTAAATATAATAGTTCCAATGTCCTTTTCAGAAAGCCACCATATTCTTCAATATTAGTATCCTTAATAGCGTTTCCTTTACTGAGTTATAAATAATTGCGATGCATCAATCGAATTTGATTTAGAAACATAGAAGAGGTCTCACACACGCTAATATTGAATCCGCTGGCTCTAAAAACGAGATCGACTCTTCAAGATATAATATTCATTTAGTCGATCATGCAATGTATACTGTATACTACTAGTAGATTATTCAGTATTTTCACTTTCCTTGACGTTCGCTCGCAAAAACTTATTTAACTTCTCGTACAAAAAAAAACTACACCAGAGTACGCATTATCGATGCAGGAGAAACAACGTCACCGGTTGGTCTTGATCTTTGGTAACGAGAAAAAAGATTCCCCAGTTCTCTTATGAATGGGAAAATGGTATCGAAAATGTGATGGCGGTCCAATAAAAACAGCTTTCCCTCTTTTTTTATGAACTGAAATGTAAGTCAACTGTCTAACAACAAACTTCAGCAAGAATAGAATAAAAAATGATTGATCCTATCGTGTAAAAGTTGCGTTTTACGTCGAGGCTTTAACGAGGACAATCGCGAAAGCTGACGCTTTACTCGCGTGCACATTTATTAGAGCTTATGCACAGGCACGAGCCGCCATGCGTCGCTATCTAAACAGTTCGACAATAAAAGTTCAGCCACGATAATCGTTATCTACGAAACCTTTAGATATATTTCTAGAATTAGCGGCCTTGGAAAGCATTATTCATTCGGTACATAAGAGTATGAAATTGATAATGCTAACCGGTATGTCTGTACTGTGGCTGGAAGAAAGGAAAAAAAGCGATATGGTACGAATCGAGCAGACTTTAACTCGGGCGAATGTCGAAGGTTCGACTTCCTCCTTTAGACAGCTCATACACGGAGAACTATCGATCGCGTTGAATTTTTTATCTATGTAGCCTGAATTATTGAGAATTAATTATTGTCGAAGGAGAGCTGTCCCATTTATTATTCACAGAGACACAGATTTCTTTGAACAAAATGTTGTTAGTTACAATTTACAAAATGAAGAAGCAGCATTCTGTACCCTAATTTCTATTACGGAGTTTCAAGCAATCTCTGTGCCATGCTTAATTATACGTCAAAGCGATCACATAATAATGAGTTATTGCCCTGCTATATGAAAGCGTAACGGCAAACGCCGTGGCGAACTTTGACAACCTCTGAACAACTCGATTGCAGTGTCTCCTTCGCGATGCAAGATGCAATACGGTTTCCAAAACTTGCTATACTCGAAAATGAAATTGAAACTTGAGAAGCTATTACAGATTCGATAATAATATAACAGAAAACTGCAACTAAATCTATTTAATTAAAGTATTAGTTTAACTTCTTAAGTGGTTTTAAAAGGTTTACAGATCCTTTCTTCAGGGAAACGAAATTTCAGGGACACGTGTAACTGCGTTTACCGTTAATTTTGCGTTGTAATTGTCCGCTTCCCCATTCGTCACTCCGTATACCGTATTCTCTACCCACGAATCCAACGTTGACTCTGATTTCTGCCCGAGATTACGTTCACATAATAGCGCATTAACGTTACCTTCAGGTATAAAAACATTTGAGAAACCATGTGACCCGCCATTTCTCATTTAATTCTCGCATTTTGTCAACACCTTAAGGATGTATTGGCTATACAGTCAAT